CGTGAGACTGTTACTGAAAACTGTGCTTTATGCTGGACAGTATATATTTATCGTGAGTTGTTCAAAATGAAATGGTAATACTAACCGTCTGGAATTTTATCATGATTTATCGTCAAACCGGTAATCGTTACATCCCTACTGCACTTTCATTCTTTGTTTTTTGAGCACAGCTTAATCTTGGGTCCTGGAGAGAAGTTTTAAATGAACAATCACACTTCTCTCATTCTGTGTAGAAAAAGGATCCAGCCCAGTTCCTGCAGGTTCATGGCCGGGCATACAAAATCCATCTGGATTCAGCTGTAGCCCTGGCAGCTGAGAGTCCCCTCAACATGTATGTAACTAGCATACGGATCATCGATTTGGGAAGAAATCATATTGTTTGTTAGGTTTGCTGTGCACAATGGATTATATATCAATATGGTTCTATGATACTAATTATTATTGCTACTATAAAAACTATTAAAAAAATGACTAAATAAATCAAAAGAAATATCACTCTTGAAATATTTCATTCAAGTATTTAGGAAAAATAGTATAATATAAAAAGCATTTTATATTTCAACTGGAAAATTACAATACAGATATTTTTGGCTATGTTAGCTTGTTCATTTTCAAATGTTACATCATCAAATGTATTTTTAGATGGAAAGTAGAAGATAAGCATTTCTCATAAAATAAGAGCTACAAGTATGAGAAGATGGTTGGCGCATGTTGCGTTCCCTAATGCACAGTAAATCAACCCAAACTCAGTGCAGAGATGAAGTTCATGTGTAGACACTGCAAACACTGGTGGTTAATGAGCTGCTTGCATGTAAGAACACAGTGCCATTGCTTCACTCTGAAACATGCAGTGCATATAATTATTTAGTTAAATCACAGCCTTTGCAATTTGATAATCGCGCTAAGCCATATCGCGATTTTGGTTTTATTTCGATTAATCGTGCTGGAAAGTTTGGAAAACTGTAACCGCTTCATCCTTTGTCCTAACAGGATGCCTTGGCAAGGAGATACCAGCAACATGATTGATAGGTTTGATGTCAGGGCACACCTGGACTACATCCCCACCTATACACCAACTCTCCTGAACACTACGTGGGTAGTCTGATCTTAATGCATCTGTCATGTAGGAAAATATAAAATAGATAAACTTGAGTATGCAAAGAAACAGGTAGTAGGATGCTGCCTTTCCAAAACGGTGGCATAGTGTGGTTTAATTTTCCATCTGGTTTTCAGTTTAACCCTCTGGTATTCCTCCTTTAGGGGACAATATATATATATTTTTTTAACTGTAGTTTGTCCAATAATATTTATTCTCTAATATTTTATGTTTTGATGGGATTTCATGCTAGACAATATTCATCTCTAAATTATGCATCATTTATTTCTGTATTAAAATACAAATATTAGAAAAAATATATTATAAATGTAAATAAAAATTCCTATTTTTTTAATTAATGCATTGTTAAAGGTGGGGTAAGTGATTTCTGGTAGCCAGTGTTGATATTTTAAATCACCAAAACAAACAAGCCCCTACCCCAAAAGGGTCTCGCCCCTATTTTGATTGCTCTGCCCCACACATACGTACGCAACCCAGCAACGATTAATTCTGTGAAACAAAGCAAAACCAATGTTACACCGTGTCTACACCGGATGCGAGTGGCGC